TGGCACCTTGTCTGCCTCAGCACGCAACTAACAACCTGGGTGATTTTAGTAACGACTATGACAAGTGTAGAGATTGGTTGGTAGGTTTGGCACACGTACTGACCTGTCAAAAGAAACTAACTGTTAGTACCAACACAAGGTTGATTCGGCACCTGACAGTCAACTGCAGAATAGGATCTCCAAATAAGGATAAACTTGATGTCTTGGAAAAAACATTATCGGATTACGACGCATTGCGTTCTGTTACATTACTTGAGCCAGGCGGTGATCCGTGGTTATTAGGTGACCATACTTTCTCCCCACTGCGCACATTCATACCTCGGTGTGGAACAGGGCGTGTGTCCATTTATATCGACTATTTTTATTCCCGTTATCTGTCACTGTTAAGCTCGTTGGCACATCTTTCCGTGGGATCAAGAGTTGAACATATCAGAATCACTCAAGATAGTCCTCTGGGACTGCCAGGTTTATTTGGGGCTACACCTGATGTAGAATATGACAGGCTGTTTGCCCGAATGATTGAACATCAGAATTACCTCCGGTCCATAAGGCTAGAGATTAGTGCGTGGACCCATGACACCAGGGGGTTCGGTAACGTACCAGCGACCCTACAGAGCATCTCAGAACACACAACACTTGAGCACGTAGAGTTCGAGCTTCCAGGGTACGATGTATGGCTTAGCCCATTACCATCTGTGAGTTTAGTTCGCAAAAGAAATGATCATGAGACGTTTGATGTGGAACCAATGGTTCAGGAACTCACAGAATGTATAAAGAAAAACAATGTGCTTAAAACATTAAGGCTTAGATGGAAACTCTGGGATCCTCATGTTGGAAATTTAACGCTAACAATTTACCATGGAGCCTGCAGCAACCAGTCCCTCTCCAACCTGTGTTCAGCGATTCAGAAAAACCGAACTCTGGAGACGCTGGAGATCGTGGGGATGTTTTCCGACTCTCAGTCAGGGCGACAGGAAATGATGATTGCCGAGTTATTGGGTAATAAACCTAGCAACTATAAGGAGCTCAGCATAACTATGTTAGACCGGTCGACCCAGCCCCTGTAAAGAATACTGTCATGTTTCCGATTGTTGTCTGTTGCAACAGCAATAAACCATCTGTGGAACCCAACGGGACATCATAATATAATAGCAGTAGAGAACACAAGCGGCACTCATTTCTCACAGAGGACCAGTTGAAGTGCACCTAACAAAAGTTTAACCATGTGACCTTATTATATGTACCTTTGAAGTACGTACATATATGTACATGTACTAGTCAGATGAAGCTATCTGCTTCATAAAAACAAAGTAACTTTCTATGTGTTTTACCATCTAGTAATTGACTAAATTGTCTTCCTATTTGATAGCATTGAAGTTCTAACTTATAAGTGATTCAGGCAAAATATGATTTTTATGTCAGTATGATCCAAGTATGATAAAAGCTTGTTTCATACTGAATTTCAAACTAAGGTTATTTCAAACTCAATGTAAATGTATGTGCTTTCGTATCGAGATTTTAAAATGTCTATTAGGATGCAAATATGGTAACCGACAACAAAAATGTTATCTTTGACAAGAGCACGACAAGTACCCACCTTTATCTGGTATCACAAAACTTTTCTTCAGTTATATGTCATATATCTTATTAGGTGCCCCTGCCTCCACATTGTAATATACTGAAACTGTACTGTATATTATTTGATTGTCCTTATTGTATTATTTCCATTTTCTGTGTACTTTATTTATCGATTACATTTAATGTTGTTTAGTTTAGAGGAGGAGGGCCTTGTGTAAGCTTTTCTTTTCATGCTTCTTCCCTCCTCCTGCACCTGTTTTTATCATTGTTTTGTATAATACTTTCAGTTATTGTTTAGTGTGTAAATCAATACACTGTAAAATCAAAATCAAGATTAGTGCAATAACCCATGTCTTTATAAGTGGAGAGAAAATGGAAATTGCATCACTATCATTTCTGTTATATGTATGTAGACAATGAAGAAAAGATGCAAACGTATGTATATGTATCTACCAAGGCTCATTCTAGTTCATTTAAAAAGTTACACTTACAATTAGAGATGGCTTGTTTCCCGGCATTTTACTTGACAACACAATATGTGCATTCCCTAGTATAGTTTGCTTATAGTTTCTTTACAAGTTTGTTCACAGTCGTGGGTGTAAGTTGACTAACTTGTTGTAAATATTGCCTACTGTTGACCATAAGGATGCCAAAGTAATGTAAAACATGTACCTGCTGCAGTGACAACGTTGTTTATTGTATAAAAACAGTATAAACGATGACAGTAACCACCATCAACCAATAGTTAAACACATCACTCACTCACTCACTATCCCGTAGCTGCAGTTTGTATGGATGTGAAAGTAACGTCAGAAACTAAAACTGCAAAATAAAATCTATGGTCTGCCGACCTGCTCAATCTTACTGTACGATTGTTACTAACCTGAAGATACTCTCTTGGTACAGGTAGTGGATGACGTCATGTACATTAAGAGAGTCCAGTAGGTCAGTCCGGTTACGGATAAGGCGTTCTACGTCCGCGGCCTCCATTTTGATGGTGGAACACCCCCTGAAAACTGTTAATAATTGTCAATGATTGTACTATATCGAACCGAGCTTATTTTCTAAAAAAAAAGACAACAAATAACAAATGCCATTCCATTTTTTAAACATTTACATATACAAAGAAAACTATTTTCCTCTTTTAATCACACAAAACGCACATTACAGTGTGTTGTATTCTTGTTTTAGTTCCCCTTTTATCGGTACAAACACAGCACTAGCACTAGATACACACTAGTTTTGTAGCAGTGTACTTTTGTTACGTATATCGACCTTTGACAGTCGGGTGACCACCTGACGCAGATGCAGCTAACCATGAGTCATACATTAAAGCAAGCACTGTCGATTCACCGTTTTGCATTGTAGAATGCCCTCTTTTCTAGGCCAACCACACCGATCCCCAGTCACCAAACATTTTCCCTCAGTACCCTAAATTGTAGCCTGTGAAACCCAAGCGCTTTGTTCGGCTCCCCAGTTAGACCGGCGAGTCAAGCTACCTGAGTTTTAAGCGTACTTTTTCCAGCGACGTCGTGAAAGTATGCTTCTAAACATACCATATACATAAAAGCTAAGTTTTGCGGATATCAGACTAGTCTATATAATATATACAGTGGGAATTACTTACTGTGGTTACTTCCGGGTTCCTAGATGCAGAAGTTCCGAACGTTATTTCAGATGGAGGGTTAGAAATCGGCGAGGAAACCTGAAAACTATTGTCTAAATGTAATAAATGTATCCTAATGTGGACTACATATGACTGGAATCTATCTATATGAAGCCTTACCGTCACTTAAAACAGAAAGTGCGTAACGTTGATTAATACACGTAACTCTATCACACTGTTGGTCATCTCATGTATAATGGGGTGGACGTGGAATTATGTTTACGAAAGACGTTGAGCACTACACAAGTATGAACATCAGCACAGCGTGGTATTAAACACCTATCAAAACTGTGCATAAATATATTGAATTGAACAAATTGTCAAATCATCAAATCCTTCAAGAAGCTGAGTATTCTTAAAACCTTTCTTACAAATCCCCCCTTCTGAAACGATTATATGGACGTGTCCTGAAAAATCCCCCGTTTGCCAATGGAAAGTCCCTACATGACGCGCCATAGAAACTTACCTGTCACCACTTGCTGTTACATCTAGCGGCGTTACTCCCTATGGTAAGTACTCTATGTTTTGCACTTCAAATTAAGCACCATATTAGTAGTAGTACACATATATCGATATAACTACATAACTGCTACTTATTTTTTCTCATGAATAGAGGCAGTATCTGATTTTTTTAAACGTTCAATTGCATTTATCTATTTATCAACTAATGTTAATGTATTGAAAATAATACATCTGTGATCAGAAAATGGGATTTTATTACTAGACGGGCAAAGTAAAATCTATAAAACCCATTGGTGTGCATTTATGTATTTATACTACATGTAGTACAGTGCAGCATAGATTGAGGTTTATAATCTTCTTCCAGCAGTTCCAGAAACTTATAAAGCATATTCATAACATCATGAGCATTTCAGCAACCCATGATCAACTTAACCATTTTATGTACAATTCTTTAGTACAATCAACTATCTACATTTCTGTGAATCGTAGGCGGGAAATTCACAGATCTTCTGATATTCTCTAATAAATGTTCTCTAATATAAAGTACCATTTACTTTTGAAGTGGTTTATTTTGATGGTATAAGGGGATGGGAAGTTTTTACCATGTTTTAAGTTTGCAATTGAAACAATTTTGTAGTACAGTGGTAGAAATACCAAACATATATCTGTGGTGTTATGAATATGATTTCATAAAAGATAAAATCACAGGGAACATTTAACTATTTTAAGTACAACAAAGTGTTCGAACCAAGAGCAGAGAAAAGCACAAAACTTACTGCTTTTAGACACAATTGTATGATTAGCAACAAAAAATTGATAATTCTTTGATTCTATCCCCTAACACACTTCAAGGACTAATGTTTTCAGTTCATTTTAGTGACACTGAAGAAGAGCAATGGATGTCACTTGAAATGTCTGGAAGTTATCTCAGTAATTTATCCAGTTGTAGAGTTTGATTTGTCCTTGAATATTGTGTGTGTGATTGTTTACCCAAATGTCCAACTTTATCAACGTATCTCCTAGCATAGTGCCCATGCCAGAAGTGGTCTTTTGGTTTTGCAAACTGAGCAAACTCCTTAAATTTCAAAAAAGCTAAATGATTTGGCTGAATATGCCTGAACGAACATGCATTGATGTGACTATTTTGTGTCTGGAGGTTTTCTGATAGCCCCCCTGCCCGTTGGTCTAGCTGGGGGGACTTTGGTGGATCTGTTGATGGCCAGCTTTTTTTCAGTGCCCAGAAGTGTTATTTTAGCTTTGCAAATTGAGCAAACTGCTTAAAAGCTTAAGTTAATGATTCTGCTTAATGTAGGTCTGAACATGCATTGATGTGACTATTTTCGTTTTTCTGGAGGTTTCTTGATAGCCCCCCTGCCCGCTGGTCTGGCTGGGGGAGTGTTGGTGTATCTGTTGATGGTACACCCCGACCCTGTGTTGATGACAATGTTTCCAGAGCCGTGGACTATCGACGTGTTCGATATCTGCATCGAGTTTGCCGTACTCCGACCTGCATGGAGGAGACAACAACATTTTTTTTACTTAGCATGAAAGTTCATCTGTGTTGGTACAAGTCATCATGAAATAGAGACTTAACTTTCCTTCCGACACTGTAACTGTAAGGAATTGAGACTTATCCCAAATTTTCGGCTGACACCTTCAGCCTTGTTCATGGAATGGACCTGTCTACTCTTGGAACGTGACGTCAGAGACATGTGACCATAGTAGCGGGTTATATGTCTAGTCATACATTTAGTCTTTATTTCATAATTTTTTTTACTGTCAAATAAATGCAACTTGCAAGTATATGTATTATGTAAGTAAGATAAATCAAGAAACTTTTGCAGTGGTTTAATTATGCAATACAAGGGAAAGGGAGGTTTTGTTCACCCCATTTCCTGTGCCTGGCCTTTTGACCTGTCATACAATCCCCCCCTCCCCCCCCCACACACACCAACATGCTGTCAACCAACTCTGTCCACACAATTAGATTCACAAATCCACAGCTCAGCCACCCAAAACAATACTTCCTGCCCAAAAGTAAAGGTCACTACTTACTAAAAGTGGTGACTCCTGATGCTCCTCCTTGTGATGATGATGACGATGAAAACTTTTTCGGGTCCACGTCACTCATGTCTGTCTTCTCCAAGAGTTCAACCACCTCATCATAAACACTCACTTTCTGATCCTTCATGGCAGCAACAAAATGTCCGTAAGCATCCTCCCCTCTCCTTGGCAGCATGGTAAGAAGTTGAAAGTTCTTGTCCCTAGTTGTTGCTTTGGCTTCTATTCTTTCTATGTCATCTATTGAGAGGACCTCCTTTTCGTAAAGGTAGTTGACGAGGTGAGGGGCCTCTATATTGTCCATGAGTTTGGTGTGGTTTTTCCTAAGGCGAGCCTGGTCGTAAGGGTCCATGGTGGCTTCAGGAAAGGCACAGCTTCCTGGGGTTGTAGCAAAAGTTTGCAAACTCACTCAGACTGAGTCAGAGTACCTGTAATGCATTTAAAATAACACTTTAATAAGTCACATATTGAAGTTTCGACAACCTGCAATGTGTAAAGACTTCTCTCGGTATACTGAGAGCACAGAGGCTAGGCAGGTGCTTCTAGAAACACTTGATTCAACACGAAAAAACCTAGGCCTAGAGAGTCAAGCATCATGAAGAAACCACACATCTAGCGTAATAATAATTAACGTTATATACGTAAACATGGACAAAAACAACGACATAATTTGACTTTGTAGAGATAACAGTTACTTACTTATGGCAGAAGGACCGAGAATGAGCTAAAATGATGGTATTTAAAGAAGATAGACGGAAAAGTTGCATGATACTAAGTTTAGTTGAACCCGGAAGTACTGTGCCCCCCTCCCCACAACACGCGACAAATTCATAGATACTGGCATAAAATCTTGCATCATTGTGGGTGGCAAGTATCCCAAAGTTTAACAAAAGACGTAACAGTTAGCAGAACAAGAAGGCGGCGATCGTACAAACCTTATTCAGTATAAAACCCGGGATCTTCGGAAACAAACTGTTTGCTCAACTCCGGTCTAAACATGGCCGCTGAATCACTCGTCTTCGGCTCTTCCATCCTGGTTACACCCTCCCCCCGGTGGATCACGAGCGCCACCATACCATCGAAGTATGAAACGCAAAGACTTGAAGTGAAGTGGGAATTTCTTTTATAGTTGGCCACGTACACCAACGCCGTGTACATATTTTTACGGTTTGCAGGCAGCCGAGTCTCCACAGTGGGGATGTGCAGTGGATGCAAAAAAGCCCGAGAAACTTCTCAGAGGGCCAAAGGTTATTCTTGGAATATTCGAAGTCACTGAATATGTCACTCAATAAAGGATTAATCCCCCGACCCGAGGTGTATATGGTGAGATAATCCCTGGTCAGGAATTATAATGCCCTTGTCAAAACTAAGCAAAAAGAATATAATGTCCTAGTCTGTACGCTAGGGTTATTTTACTCTTTTAGCCGGTCACCCCCATCCCCTTTGTTTCTTGGCATAAACCATATTCAAATTTGGCATGTTTCATTTCATGAAGGGAAGTGCAGCGTTTCATACCATCGATGTTACGTTCAGAATTTCCGACGCTGTTACAATGAAACATAACCAACTATGATATATTTATATATTAAGAAGCAAATAAGTACTATCCTTGCATTTTGTTTTATTTAATGGAGTAAGAATATGACATAGAATATTTTGTTACCCCTATCCCGTAATTTATATCATTCCAATCATAACCTCTGACCTTCCGGGACATTTCCCGCCTTTTTTGTGTCACTGAAAGAGACTCAGCACTCAGCGTCCAGCTGCCGCCCTGAGACGAGGACTGGAGGTGACAATATCTAGCTTCCTTCCAAGAAATCAGGAGCAAGAACTGCTAAATTACAAGGTAAGAGTAAACTGTTGTGGTCATCAGTGATTTCAGGGCTGCTGTATCAAAATTTCCAGGGAAACTGAGCCAAAAAAGAGAGCAGATACTGAGATAGCGGGTTTTCTGTAGTGTCAGGCCATCTGGTTCTAGTTACCGTCAAACCCAGGCCTGGTCAGACCGACGATACGAAAGACTTGAAATTTAGAGATGAGTGTCTGAGAGCTGTTGAAAAGGGCACCCCATTATTTCAATACGTTGTCTTCTCCGGATGAGCGACTTTTCAAGCTGTATTATTTAGTTTACTGGGTTTAAAAAAGGGACAAACTTTCTTCACTTCTTGAGAACTGAATTTGTTTATAGGCCTTTATACAGCTACACCCCCAAACAAACAGTAATAGAGTAGTAACGAGATGACAAAAATACAATTTTAGTTCATAAAAAAGCTGAAAGTAATAGTCAGTATTCTGTATCCTTTCAAGTTTTTCAACCTGGGTAACGTTCGTCTTGATGATATCTTCATACCAAATCAGCATACTAGTATTTTGCACCATGTCCTTCTGAGTTACAAGTTGTTTTTGTTTATGATATTAATAGAGTTTGATATAAATTTGTTTGGTTTTGTATGTCTTACTGATTTACATGAACAGGTGAAGTCTGCCGTCTCTGATAAGCTTGTTATGTTCTTGGATTGATTTATGTAATTAGATAAGGTATTCATTTCAAGAAATACAACTAAGACCTATTTACTTTCGTTGAAGACCTTGTGTTCTATTACAGAATTTGGCTACAATGGCAGCAGCACAGAGGTCACAGCCAACACTTGACTTCTGCGGTGATGAGCACTCAACCACCCTCTTGCAGGGTTTGCAGGAACTGCGGTCTGAAAACCTGCTAGTAGATGTCATCCTTTGTGTCTCCGGAAAAGAGATCCCGTGCCACAGAAATGTACTCGCTGCTTGTAGTGGATATTTTCGTGCAATGTTCTGCAATGGGCATCGCGAGAGCAAGGAGCATAAGGTTGTCATTCATGAAGCCAGCGCCAGTGCCTTGCAGCTTCTTGTTAACTATGCCTACACATCAAGGGTGACCATCACAGAAGACAACGCTCTAGAACTGATGAAAGGGGCCAGTTTTTTCCAGGTTCCACCAGTCAGCGATGCATGCACCAAGTTCCTATCAGACACTCTAAGTGTCAAAAACTGTTTAAAGATGGTTAACCTAGGTGGCATGCTGAACCCCACCCTGGAGGCCAAGGCATTGTCGTATGCCATGAAAGAGTTTGCAGCAGTCAGCAAAACACCAGAATTCCTTGATTTGACAAAAGACCAGCTCATCAAACTCGTCTCATCAGATGACCTGAACGCTCCTGAGGAAACTGTGTACACAGCAGTGATGAAATGGATCAACCATGACACAAGGAAGAGGAGGAAGGAGATGAAGGAGCTGATGGCACTGATCCGGTTCCCTTTCATGGACAAGATGTACTTCATGGACAAGGTGGAAACAGAAAAGACACTGCGCAAGTGCTGCCCAGACCTTGTGTCAGAAGCTCGCAAGTACCACGTATTTCCAGGGGAAGTCCAGTCACCTCGCACCCGTCCCCGCCGTGCCAGTGGTCTGAGGGAGGCGGTAGTGATCGTTGGAGGGATAGTGAAACTAGGAGGAAGTTCAGGAAACACTGTACTTTCCAGCAGCAATTCCATTGTGATGACACACTCCTCAGCACCATCAAGCACAAGCTGGGTTTCTATGACCGAAATGAAGAGGAACAATGACTATGGATTTGCAGTGGCTATTTTAGGCACAAGTGACATCATGGTGTCTGTTGGTGGGCTTATTTGCAAGGATGTGTGGCTTTATCAGGCAAAGCTGAACTCCTGGTCAAAACTTGCTGGGATGAACATGGTAAGGGACTATCACAAGCTAGCAGTAGTGCAGGGTAAGGTGTATGCAATTGGTGGCAGAGGCAAAGGTGCATCGCTAAATGTACTTGCAGATGTGGAAGTCTATGACCAAAGCCTGAACAAATGGACCGAAGGTGTTCCACTCCCACAGCCAAGGTACCTGAATGCAGTTGCGGCATTAGATGGTAGCATATATGTGATGGGTGGACGTGGCGTTGACAACAAATCAACATCTACTTCATATCGCTTCAGTCCAGGAGACACCCAGTGGCATCCAGCAAAGGACATGCCTGTGAAGGCTGATTTCATCACGGCTACAGTTCTCAATGGTATGTTGCTGGGCTTCCAACAAGAGTTCTCTGTTACAGGCCTCAGGAGGCCCTGTGGACTGTTGTAGCAAACACTGGTACTGGACCTAGATGTGGTATGACTGTCTTTGGTGGGGAGATTTACATCTATGGAGGCAAGAATCAAGATGATGGAACAACAGAGGTTTTGCAACTTAATCCAGATGACAGATCACTTAAGCAGGTGGGGACCATGCCCAGGGGTCTGCTCAGCCATGGTTGTGTCACTATACTGAAGGGCTGAGGGTGAACTAATGGACAGTGAACTTGATAATATTACTAGATGATGTTTAAAGTAGAATGTCATTGTAAGTTAGCAAGTTGTGCAGAAATTTGCAGGAGGATGAGATGCAGTCACATATCTTACCTTACCTTACCTTGTCCCTTGACCTCCTGGTCGTTGGGGGGCAGAGGCAACACTGGTCAGGTTTCTCCAGTTCTCACAGTCCCTTGTGGCAGTAAGCCTTTTGGCCAGTATCTTATCTTACAACATGTTAAACATTTAATGTAGCAGTATGTTCAAAGCGTTTTCATCACAAATCAGATTACAATACAAGAAATTTTAATCAAAGTAGAACATTTTGTACTGACCTATTCAAGCTAAATTTTGAAAAGATCTTTCCTGACCCCAGTGATATGTCCGTTCTAGTCTATATACATCACAAATGCTGTAATCAGTAGAAATGTTTAAATGTTTTTTTACTAATGTTTGTTTATTATGCAACATTGTTACCTAATATTACCTTTTGATATTGTGACCAAGGTTTTTAATTTAGCTGGTCAGCTCCATCCTGTTGTGGATATATGCCATGGGAAGAAATTAACATAGCTGTTGCTATGATGGAACTGTTTGCAGTACATTTGTACTACACTAAACATAGTACATCTGATTTGCTTCAGTTCAAATTGAATTTATAAACAAGTAGTGTTTGCTTTGATTTAGGTCCAAGACAGGTCTACTTTGTTTTATTTAATAGATCTAAAGTGACTTTTTATGATATCATATTTAGATACATGTAGATTAGCAAGGGAAAAAGTACCTTTCTAACACTTACATGTACACGAACAACACCTCTCATGATCTACACTATCTACAAAATTTTAACAGGATGGGAGCATCATTTCTGGTGTAACATGTGGTACGTTTATTACTTATTCCAAGGAGCTTCAAATTCCTTTCTTATTATTGTTACAATTACCCACTGGTACATTTGTTCTTTTGATTAACAAAGTTCTGCTGAAGAAAAATTATGTGTTGTGTGCTTTTCTTTGATGTAACTATTGCACCATTAAGGAGTTCAGTTAAATGTTTTGTGCAAAGTCTTTACTGAAAGTGTAAGGCCTACTGATTTGTCCTTGCTTTGACTTTTGACAAAGGGACAGCTCAAAGAAAGGTAGATGTCATTGATAGGGGACACTGTAATAAACAGACTTGCATACTCGGAATATAACAGCTGGCATATAACAGACCGAGATGGAGGATGGGGAACACTGTGGTCGGATCTACGCTCTCCGCTCAAGAGGATTAAGTGGGCCAACAGGCCACTATAGTTTCCCGCCTGGATATGCGCTACCTAACTTCCTGTTCCTCCTTTCCGATGAGTTCGCCGCAACTGAAGGGTAGAAGAGTGATGACGTCATAGGTTGACCTCTCGCAAGAAGATCTCGCGATTGGTTAACGTTTTATGACGTCAGTGGGAATTTTATTATATTTTTAGACACTGTCGTGACACTTTGATCTTAATACATTAAGCAGAATTTCTTGCAAGTTTTTTTTTCAGTAACAGTAAAAAATCAAATAACGTAGGCAAACCCTTTCAGGGTGTTCCGTACAATAAAAACGAGTAAAACAACAAAAAAAGAATAAAACAACAATAAAAGCGATTCTTTAGAAGTCAAGACCAAATTGGTTATTTAAAAAAGTAAAGAATACACATGTTCAATTATCTAGAACAGTGTGCCTCTGACGAAGACATGAGATCTCCGACCTCTAGTTTCATGGATGAAACATCGTGCAAATATATAGAATTTATGGTTGCTTTTGACAAAATATTCACAAGACAGTGGTGTGAAATCTTTAATTTCTTGTTAGAATTTCGCTTTCTTGTCACATAGTCAACTTATAGTTAACGTTACATCTTCGATTTTTTGTTGCAAGGTACAATTTTGATTTATTGTCACATCTTCTATTTCTTGTTACTATACAATTTCTTGTTATAATTCTTATTTCCTGTCGCATTTTCTTGTTCAATCTTTGATCTCTTTTTACAATTTTTATTTCTTGTTACATCTTCGATTTCGTGTTAACCTTAACGTTATATCTTCCATTTCATGTTATACCGTCACTTTCTTGTTACATTGGGCTGTCAGTTGACCCTTTCTACAACATTCAGCTTTAGTTTAAGTAGCAATGGTTATTTTTTTTTCTTACAATAATCTTTCCTCATCTGCCCATCAGTAGCACATGTATGCATTTCAATTTATTGTTTTCCGAGGCCTATGACCAAGGATGGGCAGCAGGCCTAAGTAAGTAAGTAATTTGTGTTATGAAGCAACTTCAAACTGCAATTTCCAACACAACAAATTGGACTCACCCAAATTTGTTCAATTTGTTGTGTTGGAGATTGTAGTTTAAACTTGCTTCATAAGGATTTCTACCAACTCAGATGAACTTTCCAGATGAGTAATTTGTTTGTTACATTTGTCTCGCTAAATGACAAGTCACATGGGATGAAACTTCTACAATTGATATTCCAAACTGTAATTTAATAAATGTAAACAATTTCTCACGTTGGACTTTTCTCTTCATAATGTTATACAGCTGAGTAACATCACATGGTAGTACTATCCAACAACATGAAGCACGTCTCATATCTGTATGCCACCTTTTTTTCACAGCACGAGTTGTACATGTGGTTTGCAGGGCTAGGGTGCCATTATCGCTTTCATCTTCCTTTCACGTTGTTGTTCTTCACTGGCCCTTCAGTATAGTGACACAACCATGGCCCAACAGACCCCTGGGCATGGCCCCCACGTGCTTAAGTGACTTGTCCTCTTGATCAAGCCACAGAACCTTGGATTCTGCGGTTCCATCCTTCTTGTCGCCTCCAAAGATGAAAATCTGCCCGCCAAGGACAGTCATACCGCATCTGGCTGCCGTGCCAGTGTTGACTAAAACAGTCCAAAAGCCCTGGTTAGGCATATATAGGGTATATCGGAGAACCTTTGAGGGAAGACCAGCGACATAGATGCTGCCATTGAGAACTGTGGCAGTGATGCCATCGGCCCTCTCAGGCATGTGCATGTCGTTTGGTGAATGCCACTGGGAATCTCCTGGACTGAAGCGGTACATTGTGAATGTTGAATAGTCGTCAGCGCCACGCCCACCCATCACGTATATGCCGCCATCTAGCACGGCAACTGCATGCAGGTACCTTGGCTCTGGGAGTGAAACACCTTCGGTCCACTTGTTCAGGCTTTGGTCATAGACTTCCACATCTTTGACTGGCCTGCAGTTGTTTCCTCTGCCACCGATTGCATACACTTTACCGTGCACCACTGCTAGCTTCTGATAGTCTCTTGATGTGTTCATAGGAGCCAGTTTGGTCCAGGAATCAAGATTCGCCCGATATAGCCACACATCCTTGCAATCAAAGCCACGTGCACCAACAGACACCATGATGTCACTTGTGCCCAAAACAGCCACAGCAAATCCATGGTAATTCTCATTCTTCATTGTCGTCATAGTAACCCAACTTGTGCTTGATGGTGCAGAGGAGTGGGTCATCATGATGGAGTTGCTGATATTCCAAGGGTCCTGTCCTCTTCCTTCTTTCTCTGTCCCTCCAACGATCACTACCGCCTCCCTCAGACCACTGGCACGGCGGGGACGGGTGCGAGGTGACTGGACCTCTCCTGGGAATGCGTGGTACTTCCGAGCTTCTGACACAAGATCTGGGCAGAACTTTCGCAATGTTTTGTCGGTTTCTACCTTCTCCATGAGGTACATCTTTTCCATGAAGGGGAAACGGATAAGTTCCATCAGCTCCTTCATCTCCTTCCTCCTCTTCCTTCTGTCGTGGTTGATCCATTTCATTACTGCTGTGTACAAAGTTTCCTCAGGAGCGTTCAGGTCATCTGATGAGACAAGTTTGACGAGCTGGTCTTTTGACAAATCAAGGAATTCTGGTGTATTGTTGACTGCTGTAAACTCTTTCATCACATACAACAATGCACTGGACTCTAACTTGCGATTCATCAGCATGTCACCTAGGTTTACCATCTCAAGACAGTTTTTGACACTTAAATTGTCTGACAGGAACTGTGTACATGCATCACTGAGCCGTTGAAACTGAAAGAAGTTGGCCCCTTTCAACAGTTCTTGAACATTGTCCTCTGTGATGGTGATCCTTGATGTGTAGGCGTAGTCAACAAGAAGCTGCAAGACATTGGCACTGGCTTCGTGAATGTCAACCTTGGCCTCCCTGCTCTCAAGATGCCCGTTGCAGAACATTGCGCGAAAGTAACCACTGCAAGCAGCGAGTACATTTCTGTGGCACGGGATTTCTTTTCCGGAGACACAAAGGACGACATCTACCAGCAGGTTTTCAGATCGCAGTTCCTGCAAGCCCTGCAAGAGGGCAGTTGAGTGTGTCTCATGGCAGAAGTCAACCGAGGTTTGTGGCCCCTGTGCTGCTGTCATCGTAGCCAAATTCTGAAATGACAATGTTAATAATGAAATTATAAAGAAATGTGTTAGTTTAATTCCTTTTTTCTTACAATAAGGCTCCACTTAGATCACGTGTATATTTACTTTCTTTGACATAAAGAATAGGGTAGCTTCAACTGTACCACAAGCTAAATGAAGTCATTCTAAGTTTCAAAGGCATATAGAACAGCATAAAGATGTTAATACAGGCTTTTCACATCCACCATGTTGTATTACAGTGTACGCTCAAATGCTACTACTTAATCAGTTTACCCGCCATCACCTGGTCGCCGAGATTCATATGATAATTATCATGTACGTCAATGAAAACCATCAAGCACGTTCGGCTTCCTCCAGTTTTTGATCGAAACAATGCAATTCGTTTTATTTTGCACCTTGTTATAACTTTGACATCGTGAGCCTGGCAAATGGTAAATTTTGTGACTGTGAAAAAACAGATGGACGAGTGGTCTAGTCTCCAACAGACTTCTTTTGCCTAAAAAGGGTATTAATTGGCGAGAGAAGGTAGCCGGCCATCGACCGGATCAAAAGAAGTCTGGTGGAGACTAGAGTGGTCAAGGAAAACGGTAAATACGTTTCCAGAAGAGGGAGAGTGCCCTTTTTCCGCGCAAAAAGAGACATAACGTCAGTCACCTGTTGTCTTACAGCACCAGGTGGCTTGGTAAGATGGTCTGCCAGCTCCAGTAAATTTAATCGACACATTCATTGTGTTCTGTCTTTCCTCTCAGTTTTGACACATGTTGGCACAGTATAGTCCTATAAGCACTATCAACAACAGCGGTTTGTTCTTACCTGGCACTGTATACGTAGCAGCTCTTACTTCTGTTTCCAAGGAATGAAAGACCAGCAGACCTTCAGACAAGCAAGGCGCACCCTCCGCGCAGCCGAACCTCCTCAGTCGGAATGCGCAATCGACACACACAAAAGCGCGGGAAACGTCTCAGACGGTCAAAGGTTACCTTTGGAATGGTAGAAGTCACTGTGTATGGGGATGGCACTCAGATTAATCTCCAATGTATTATCATATTTCTACATCATACGAAGATAAACACTGGGGCGGTATTCAGCTGATTCATATAAGTTTGCGTTGTATTGTGTATATCCAATTCTAAACTTAGAGAATAAAAATTAGCAATGTCTTATCTTGAAAAAAAAATCTTATCACAGCCCTTTCCTTCTTGTAATCGAATATACCAAAACCTGAATATCGACGACAACAAGTAAAAAATGGCAGGGGGATGCCCGTCATCAGAGGAAATGGGGTCAAGTCACTAAACGCAATAAATCGATTTCATTCGTGACATCGCCGCACACATAGGATTTTAGGTTACTTCTGATAAAATGTGTAGTTTTTTTCCTTTCGGATATTCCGCTTATGATACTATTTCTTCTGATGACCTGCATTCCCCTGCTAGTTTTTACTTGGTATAGTCGATTCAGGTTTAGTATATTCCATTTCAAGAAGGAAAGGGCTGTGATAAGATATCATTATTTTCTTCAAGATAAGACTAACTTTTTGTCTTAGTTTAGAATAGAATATACACAATGCAACGCAAACGAAAATAAAAGTTCTATGAATCAGATGAATACCGCCCCAGTGTTTATCTTCGTATGATGTAGAGATAACACAATGGTGATTAATCTGAGTGCCAACCCCATACAGTGACTTCTAACGTTCCAAAAATAACCTTTGACCGTTTGAGACTTTTCCCGCTGTTTTTTTTTTTGTTTTTTTTTTGTTTGTTTGCGCATTCCAACTGAGGAGACTCGGCTGCGCGGAGGGTGCGCCTTGCTCGTCTGAAGGTCTGCTGGTCTATCCCTGAAAACAGAAGTAAGAACTGCTACAGTGCCAGGTAAGAACAAACCGCTGTTGTTGATAGTGCTTATAGGACTATACTGTGCCAACATGTGTTGAAACTGAGAAGTAAGACAGAACAGAATGTGTCGATTCAATTTACTGGAGCTGGCAGACCATCTTACCAAGCCACCTGGTGCTGTAAGACAACAGGTGACTGACGTTATGTCTCTTTTTGCGAGGAAAAAGGGCACTCTCCCTCTTCTGGAAACGTATTTACCGTTTTCCTTGACCACTCTAGTCTCCACCAGACTTCTTTTGGCCAATTTGGCCAATTTGATCCGGCTACCTTCTCTCGCCAATTAATACCATTTTAGGTCGATTTCTACGATTTATTCAGCCCACAAAAGACGTCTGGTGGAGACTAGACCACTCGTCCATCTGTTTTTCACAATCAGACAATTAGCCACGCAACATTTGCCAGGCTCACGATGTCAAAGTATTTATAACAAGGTGGAAAATTGAATTGCATTGTTTCGATCATAAACAGGAAGAAGTCGAAAGGTGATTGAGGGTTTTCTTTAACGTCATGATAATATCATATGAATCTCGTTGACCAGGTGTTGGCGGGTAAACTGATTAAGTAGTAGCATCTTAACGTGTTTAACACACATACACTATAATCCAACACGGCGGATGTTAAAAGCCTGTATTAGCATCTTTATGCTGTTCT